TTTGCATAGTTTTTTGGTTTGGGTAGAGCACTTTTGGACCTCGCCCGGATCTTGCCCAGAACCACCATCCTCCAGCAGCTTGTGTGCTGCTACTGCTTGGCAGCAGCTGAATGGGCTGCAGCTGAGATTGAGATCCAGCACACTCGCAAGATCATCGCATTCCCAGGTCAGGCAGGTATGGCAATGTGCCTCTTGTGGAGTTGGCTGCCCGCAGAGGCTTCCCAGGCCTTACAGGCCCGCAATTGAGCAAGTTGATGACGAACCTGTGCAAGCACATTAATGGGTGATCAATCTCAAACGCGCACTGTGGAGACAGTGCTGTGGTCTGAGAACCTGGAGGCTGTGAAAGAGCTCTTGGACGAGGGTGATGGTGAAGAGGCAGAGCTCCTCGTGCGCCAGCTGGATGCGCAGCGAGCAGCAAGGAATCGAGCAGCTCAGTCGACTGGGCGCCCAGAGCAGTCCAAGCGACGGCCACTTCTGAAGGCCCCAGTTGCAGCCGGGTGGACTTTAGACCAGATGCGGCAGATGGCACCTCCAGGCGACATCCTCTTTTTGCAGGAGGAGCGGTGGCATACCCGGTGGAGGTGCAAGCATCTGGATTGCCCTCCGCCGAACAACATGTCGAGGGTGTTTCACACCAGCCATGATGAGCTTGCCGCGCAGAAGGCTTGCCTCCGTTTCCTTTGGTCTTGCCACTGCCGACTCCACCCAGGTACAGAAGTCCCATGGCTGCTGGATTGAATTGGGACGGTCAATGTTTGAACGTTGCGGTGACTGGGGCGCATTCAGTGATTTGTTCAATTCGCTTTTGATTGAAGGTCATGCCGGGAACGATGAATTAATATCAAGTTCAGAAACTCGAAAAAGCTTCGGTTCATGCACCAAATTTTTTATTGTTGAGGTTCTATCTTAAAAAAGAGCTGGCCACACTGACTGGCCGGGCTCTGGCCGGGTCTTGTCCTTCTCTTGTCCTCTGGCCGCGCTGACCAGCCCTGGACACACTGACTGGCCGCACCCCGAACTCTATGGGCGGGCTCTGCGACCGTCCTCTTGTCCTGCTCTTCTCCTGTGACCGAACAATTGGCGATGTCGATGCTGACGAAAACCATTGATAAAGCAATTTGCTAGGTAGGGCGCGCCAAGAAATCATTGTTGATGTAATATTGGGCCCAACGAATCGTTTTGACCCTGTTTGGTGTCTATTTTGGTATAATCAGTAGGGTCTCGAGGGTTGGTTGGGGTGGGGGTTTCCCATCTTCAAAAAAACACCAAACTGTCCACTTTCCGAACCCAAGTTTCCAGAATTTTGAACAATGTTTCCAGTTTCCGATCACCGCTTTTCGGTTTTCGAATTCGAGTTTCTGATCCAACTTTTAGTTTCCGAATTCACAACGCAGGTGTCCGAACTCAACGCTGATCCACGAATGGGACTGACTTGTCAACCTTTGCTTCGCTTTCTGCTGAATGTTGCTGTGATACTTCCTCAATCTTTTGAGAGCACTCAACTGAAGAGTTGCTTGTACTCTGGATCAATGGCTCACCGCGACAAAAAGCCCCGTTCGCACATCAGTCAATTCTGGATGCCCACACAAAGCACTGTGAGATACTTGGGGTCACAGCGTGAGCGCCGAGCAAAACCAAGATGCTAGCTTGCCCTGGCACCTCCCTAATTACAAACAGATGTGTTCTAAGAAGCGTTGTTTTGAAGGTTGCTTTTCTGGCTGAAGTGGACGATGTGTTTTCAACCCAAGAGCCCAGGCAAAGGGATACCAAAAAAGTAAAAAGGGAACCCGTACTGCTGGACTTCCTACTATACCCCCACCTGACCTGTTCCAATTAGTCCCCAAGTGAGTGGATAACGGGCACCCTAACCTCCATTAAGCACCCTCTGTGACTACTGGATGGCAGAAAAGCGTGGGATTTGTTCCAAGATCCCAGCATATCCCACTCAGATTGGACCCAAAAAAGAAGTCGTGTTTTTGTTGGATTTGTCGAACATGTCAATCTAGAGAGGTTAAAACGGGGGTTGTCCATTTGATTTCTTGAAAGGGACAAGAGGACTTCAGAGCAGCTGGAATGGGTGTTCTGAGCAGAAAGTGGATTCTTTTGCGCTAGAACAAGGGCCTGGTATGTCAGAGGCAGTTAAGCTAAGTGAAGATGGTCGGTCCCCCGCTCACACTGCAGTTTCCTGGCCTGCTGGAGGTATGAATTCATCTATGAGACGGAGAAGGTCCCGCGGGCCATGGGCACTTTGAATAAATTGATTTCCCTTTGCAAATGCACAAGCGAAAAAAAGGGTTGCATAACCTGCTCGTTTCAGGGGCATAGCAGAAACATTCCCGTCTGGTGCCGGAGGCGCGGTGAGTTGAATCCCTGCCCACAGGAACCTCATGACAGATATGCAGGCGTTGTGGAACCAGGATTTTGCAAATCACTCGGCGCTGGTTGAAGCCGGGATAGTTCCAAGATGGTTTTGTTGTTTTGCCATGCGTGGCCCTTCTGAAGGGTTTGTGAGGCAGGGCAGGGGTCAACTTAAAACTTCAAGACTGAACATATGCCCGGAAGGTGCTGCACTTCACCTGGGCCTGGGCAGAGCATATTTGTGTGTCCTTTTTGAGAAAATTTGGTGTTCACCCCCATCCGACCATGCATTCCAGTCCAACGTCTCCTACTGTGCGACCTCTTTGGCACCAAGCGTTACATCGCTCACTGCGGGGGCTGATCCCCATATATTGTGGATTCCCGGACTCCAGGCCATCCAGGAGATGTTCGGCACTGCTTTTGTTGTTCTGTATGGTGACATATGGGCACCGCACCCACTTCTAGTATCTTCTAGTGGTAGAAAATCCTGCTACACGTCCTCAATGAAGGTGAAGGTGGGTAAAAGAAGGAATATCCCACCAACTTGGTTCCTCTTCTCACCACTGCGTGCTTCCAGGGCCACGCCTCCAGCCGCTGGCTCGGCGTTAGACATGGTCAGTTGAAACAGAGTTGGAGCAAGGAGATCCACTGAAAAGAACGGTTTTGGTGAGTCTTTTGGCCGGGACTGGGATCTCAGCTGGTCGCGAACCTATACCTATAGCCTAAAGCGAACCTCACCAGACCACACCAGCGAAGCGAACCCAATGTAGAAAATGCTAGGATTATGTGCTGCATATGCATATTCTACATTGTGGTTCAGTGTCTAAGTGTTTTTGCATGCAAACCTGGCCGTTTTTCATACACTCCTGCCGGCATATGGGTTATTGGGAGGGAAGAATTCAATCGCCTTCTGATTTGTTGTATGTATGTTTTGTATTTGTTACTACTTGTTGTTTTTTCTTTTGTTTTTTTGGCTGCGCCTCGCGGCAACCAGGGCGATTCCTGAATCAGCAACACCTGACATTACCTGACTCAAATTCCTCTCCGAAAATGAAGCTAGTTACTTGGAACAGAAGGGCCAAAAGGCTAGGTGGACCTGAGTCAAGTAGATTTGACACCCGGTGGCAGTCTCGGTGGCATTTCTTGCAAAGGGCGGTTGGTGAGGTGCACGGCATCCAGGTTAAAAGATCAAGGGTTATTGGGTTCTCCATCGCTGCTAGCTACGCTAGCTGTTGCTCAGGAAAAAGCTAGTTAGCCAAGAATCTACAAGCTCCCAAAGGGACATGCAAAACCTGGTGCCTTTTCGGTCGTGGGGACAGAGGAGTCAGTCATGTCTTCCTCAAATTGAGGACTCGGTGACCACTTCGCGTGACCCTGCCGGGCCGAGGCCAGAATGAGCGTTTGCGTTGCTGGCGGAATGGCAGCACTTTGGCACACGTCGATGGGCCGGATGGGACGGTGCCGCGCGTCGCTGGGACGGTCAGGTTCTGCTAGAAGCGAGTGCCGATTAGCTGAACGGCAGAGTCGAAGGGCTTGAGGGCATCCTCCAGATGGAGTTGGAAGGGTCCAACTGTCAAGTTCATTTCGGGGAAAGAAGGGCATCAACTGACAGATCTCAAGGATATCCTGCGGCCTGTCAGTGAAAGTGGACACTTGGGTTCTGAAATGGTTTGCTTGCCACGGCAAGCGATCTGGAACTTGGCAGATGAGAGCCCCATTGAAGACCTACACGAACGATGCCACTACTTGGAAGTTCTTTTTTGGGGGGGGATCCCATGCCATGGAGCTACATTGCTACATCTGCTCCCCAACAAACACCCCCATCAGAATATATGCGGTTCTTAGCTTTGGTTCGGAAGACTCCGGAAACCCATGTTGATCTCAATAGCCCCAAACGGGGGGGCACATCAGAGTAGACTTGGTCGTCTTTTTTTGTTGAAGCGGAACCGGTGACATGGAGTGCCTGAGTACATCACACCTCAACCAACCATCATACACGAAACCTCTACCAGGTAGTTATTAATGCTTGTACTCTTGAGTCTTCAGATGTCCTCACCAAGCGCAATTACCGCATCATTGGTTGGACTAGCGCAAGTCTGGGTTCGGATTCAGCGGGATTAGCATCGGATTCCCCTGGCCATCCCAGGCCTATAGAAATGAATGAATTGCATTCACACTCACTGGAACTAACACGGCAGAGGACAGGGGTCCCTGGGGGTGCTCCAAACCGCCGGTGCGGGGTTTCTGCCTCCATGTGAATTCCAACGGGGGAGTCTTTAGATGAGATTTCCAGAGGGGTGCCCCCACCGTGGGGGCAAGGCTTTTCGGAGGGCCTGTAGACTAACGGTTGGGAAGGGCCTTGGCTTGAAGACTCGTCCGCCAGACTGATTCAAGCAGAGTTGAAAGGGTCATGATATAGTAGGATGCACGGTGCGACCGCAGAAACTGATGCACAAAGTTCATACTCCAAAGTGGCCGCTTGGGGATCAGAGCTTTTCTTTTCAGAGCTGGGCGCGCCAGCCGCTTCCATCCCAGTCAGGTTCATCAATAGCCACGTAGACAAGCCACACTTGGGATTTGTGCTGCTCCAGTTTTCACAGACCATGATATACATCTTCGACAACTGCTAATCTGAAAATCTCACTCAACTTGTCGGCACAAACGCGCCAGCGGCCGGTGCCAATGGGCGAGAATTGCTGTGCTGGGTTCGAGGCATAGGAGGGGAGCCTCCTGACCTGGCGTGAGGCCAGAGTCCTTCGTATTCAGTGGAAGCTCTTGACTCTTGACTTTGTAATCACTCCAGCTTTTGAAGAAATCAGGTAGCACTAAGCCTGCCAGTTGCCTGGCACTCCAGGATGGGAGCCATTGACATTTGCGACTCTGAGGAGGCCGATGCTGTCCAAGCTGAGGCCCTGAGGTTCTGAGGTTCTGCAAGTGGTAGAGGGATTTGCTGCGTAGGTTGCTTCGGGATTTCGGTACCTTCCCAAACATTCTCCAATTGCTTGGCACATGCTAGAACCTGGTTGCAAATGATGCTCCAGGATAGACTTCACATAGCAGCGTTTGTCCGGATCGAATCCAAATTCCCTTAGCCTGTTTGAATGTTTTTGATAAAGAACTCCTGCACCACCTGAAGCCGCACCGCCATCGATACCATGTTGCCGTCCCAAACCCCTATCCCCATTTGGTCCCAGCTTTTCTTCCACCCACCAGGCCAGTTCGTTGTGATGTGCATCGTTTTGGCCGCTACCCCGTCTATAGACCCCCAAATAGGTAGAAAAGATTAGAAAAGTAAGACCCCTTTCAAAATGTAGTGGAAACCGTGCCACTATCTATATTTGAGGACCACTATTTAGTCTAGCTGCACTCCATGGTCCAGGAGGATGGCGCCTTGGCCCGCAAGCGCGCCGCCATCCGCAAGCGGCGTCAAGCAGCGGCTGCCTCGGCAGAAGCGGTTGGAAGTACTGAGGAGCCGAAGGTCGAGGTCTGTAGACCGAAAGTGAGGAGACGGGGAGACGGGGTGTCCCAGGTTCCAGCAAGAGTGGGTGTCCAGGTACCAGGTTTTAAGGGCTCAAGCTGGGATTGATTAATAGGAGTGGTGACTTAATCCTGTGTGCGCATTATGCTGTTTTTAATGGAAAAGGCCTGCAGTCCTGAACTGATCATCCACTTGGGGCCTTGGTGTTTTGGACTCTTTGCCCAGAGGACGAGAAAGGTGACGTTGGACGACGGTGTTTTTTGCTTCAAATTGGTGGAGGGGTCCTCAGTACTGCCCATAAAGATGGACACGTGCAAAACACCATGGGGGAGGAACCGGCACCCAAAAGCTGCTTGTAAAATATTGTAAAATAGTACAGAGTGACCAATGACCGACAGACAGCCCACCTCCTGTTCAGAGTTTTGGAGCCGGTTCTTGTGCTTCTTTGGTCCTTTTGGTTCGTTTCATCCTCCACAAGAAGTGTTGACATACCGTAGTCAGAGGCTCCTTTCGGCCAAAGGGGGTTTGATCATTTGGCCCGTGAGAAGGTGCCAAAGTCCATGTCCTTTTGCAGTCCATTCCACACATCGCCTCCAGATCCTTTCTTACGACTGGTACGAGAGGCACCTGGACCATGGAAGAACCTCTGTATAGACCCCCACATAGATAGAAAGACACAACACATACCTTTCAAAAGGTATTGGACACCGTGCCACTATCTATTTGAGGACCGACATCTGGGGCATGTTCAATGCATTTGGCGTCCATCCGCATGACCAGTTTCGCCCTCGGGGAGCAGCATCGTCGTGCCTGCTGAGTCGGACGGCTCCAGCTGCGACACCTCCAAGTACCTCCTCAGATTTAGACCCTCCTGGCACCCACCTCAGTCCCACCTTCGAAACGAAGGTACGACATGGTACGACTGGAGGCCGGCTGAGTAGCGATCTCCACATACACCAAACTCTGACCATGTATTCAGTGGCCCTGAATCCCCCAAATGGACCACATGGACCGTGGACGTTCACTGCACCAGCAGGTCTGACTGATCCACTTCCATGACTTGTTGGACCCTCCGCCCTCCCAGACATGGATTGATCAAAAACCTCTTCCATCCTCAGGCCTGGGGGTTGGCATCCAAGAAGTCTACATTGAGTGGTCCTGATCTTCATGAGTGGTCCATCCCTTTCTTTCAACACCACCTTCTGAACACCGCCGACAGGCCTCGGCACCGGCCGCGCTGTCCTTGTTGGAGCTTCCCACTGGTCCCTGGGAATGTGCCTTCTGTGCCGAGAGCAACGGAGAGAAGCGTCGCTCGGTCGTGTGAGGGCTCCAGCGGAAGGTTCGGAAGGTTCGCTGCACGCAGTGGAGTTGGACCCCGGAAAAGAGAACGTGGAGGACAAAGATCCTTTTTTGGTGGTGACGAGTGTACCAGGAAGGTGGGAGCGCCCACCTGAGGAGATGGGCCACTCAGAGCCCTACAAAAGAATCATGTTCCGCCATGCCACCCACATCCTTGTGATTTCTTTGGGGGGGAAATAAGCTGCACTTCGAGCGTCCAAGACAATGGGAACGAACTTTCCCAAAGAGGGACCAACAAATGACATTAAATTCTAGCCGGACCTTCAATTTGCTTTCCAAAGGTGATTACTGTCGATTGGTCCATTTCTTCCAGGCTTGTGCTTTGGCGTTTCACATGTTGACAGAAGTGAGGTAGTACATTGATTCAACCATCCAAAAATCTTGGGATCTCCCAGTTCCAACTGGCCACATGGGCCGATGTTCGCTCGCCACTTGGCGCTCGTTCGCTCGCTCCCCGCCCAGCCGTGAAACGCTACACCTTCCTCGACCGATTCCCGTCCGAGGACTGAAGTGCAACAACTGTCTCAAGCCCAGGCCTGGCACGGAGGCCGGGGCCAAAGAGCGAGCGCGGATTGGGGTGGGGTGGGTTGAATGAGGCAGTTGAGGGATGAGGTGGGTCTCCTAATTTGATAAGACAGGGCAAGAGATGCTAGTAAAGTGAATACAATACGTACATGTCTTGAGCACTCCCAAGCACCTCATAATTTTTCTACCTTGCCGTGTCCTAATTTAGGAATGTCGCAAGGAGGGAGAGATAGAGAGTGAGAGAGAGAGAGAGAGACAGACGTGCTGCATGATCATTATACACGGTCAGTAGAGATAGTAGAGGACCATGACGCATAGAGGTTGTGATCTTCCAGTGAGTTGGAATCTGGCTGCAAGGTTGCCCAGATGAACCGCAATGTTCTTTTGCAGTTCCTTGGGGCCGATTCTGGCTCGAGCCACGTGTATATACCTTAAAGTCTGGGGTTTTCTTCGTTGTCTCACTTCCAATCTCCTGATGGAGAATCTAAGACTGACACTCTCCGTTTGCGGTGAAGGAAATGACTGCAGAGATGGGGAATGTATGTGTGTGTCCACTAGATTCTGGATTCTTGTCCTTTGGGCCAGTTCCAACGAACCCATGGGGTGAGTTGAAACTGCTTTTTCCGGTGGTTCACCCTAGCGCACCCAAACAGAGCACTACTTCACCCCGAAGGTTCCGGTTTTTTCTCCGGACGTCCTGTTCGGTCGAAGGTGCTTTCGCCCCAGGACGAGCGGGGCCGCATCCCGTCGCCCCGCAGGAGTTGCACATTTCCGCACCAAAAGCGGCCCCGCTCGCGCCGATGCCGGCGGGGGGCCCTCCGAGCGTCCTCGGGTTTTGGAGACTCACCGGTGGATGGAAGAGTGAGTCCCGTCGCTGGTGAGTCCTGTCGGAAGTGACGTGTAGGGGCGCTTTTCGGAGATTTGGTGGATCACAAATGGAATATATGGAAACCAGACCCTTCAGGCACTCATGGAAGCTGAGCAGACCCCCCCTAGTAGGGTGAACATGGGTGAACATGATCTTCCAGAGGCCCATGTTGCACTTCTGTGCTTGGATTCCGAAGTGAGCAACCGGAGTGCCCACACCACTGGTCCATGTGACTGCGGGGGGCTGGATTCGCTTCGAAAAAATAACTCCCAGACACGACCCACCGGAGAGTGGAATACCCCCACAAACTAACATGGACCCATGTGAACCCACGGGGGTTCCATGTGAATCCACAGGAGAGTATATGTGCTGACATTCCTTTCAACCACCCCGGGTATGAAAGAGGGGATCCCAACTTGGGCGATCGTTCTGTTAGTGCCATGTTGGGGTGACGATTTGAGAGGTGACTTCCCCCGAGGCCACCTCCTTCAAAGGCAGACCGAAACCATCCGAAACCTGCGCCACCAAGGCCAATTCAGGGAGGCGATCGGAGGGAGGAGGGAGGAGGATCCGGTGTTCTTCAGGTGTAGCACCCCCAGTAGCTGGTGCTCCAGACAGAGCTTTTCGGAGCCTGGGGGTGGGTCCATACCCCAACCACGGAGCCTTTCGGAGCTAGAGGGAATTCCTCAACCCCAACTAGTACCTGTCCAGGGGCCCTGGACGCCACACGTCACGTCGCGTGGTTGGGATCAAAAGCGGTCGACCGTCCCCGAGCGTTCCGGGGGCGGTGGCGATGTCAGTGAAGGCTTTGTGTTTCAGGCCGACTCTCGCTGCGCAGACTCCACCAGAGGTGATCAAACCCTGCAGGGACGGTTCAGGGATCCTGCAGGGACGGTTGCCACGGGGCCCGCTTTACGGTGCGACCACCTGACCGAGATCGATGGACTGGACATGACCGGGACATGTATTTGATGCTGTTGTGTCACGGGACTAATGTAGAATGTAGGCTCTTGATATCATCTCTTTGATGAGTTAAACATCTCAGGGCCCCATATGAAGAGTTTTGACCCACCAAGATGTTTGTCAGTCAATCGGGAGTCCATCATGACCATGTTTTCCCTCGTGCCAGGTGTTGGAATGCCACGACCCAGTTGGCCTATTAGGCAAATGCTTTGGGTTGTTGAGCCCAAGTAAGTAGAACAAGCGCAGTCCTACTGGATCAACGGAAGTCATAGGTTGAGAGGATGCGCGGACCGCTGTGGCGGAGGCGGAAAAGGGGCCGCGGCTGGGACGACTGGGAGGAACAGGCTCAGAAGGCGGCGGCGGAGGCCAGTGCGCAGAACGCCCACCTGATGAGCCTTGGATGCATTGGGCTCCCCAAGAACGTACATGCCGTACCATGCCGTACCTCCTCTGGAGGTCCGGAAGGTACTTAGACCCGAGAAATCCAAAACACCCAACCTCAGGAGGCAAGCCCTAGGGTTTATGTGCTGGTTCTTTCTTTCCTGAACTGCATGCGGGGCCGCAGGAGGTGACCGCTTTTTTGGAGCTTGAGCGTGATAGCACTGCACAGGATCAGATGCCTTCATTGTAATAGCAACCACCGACTCATTTGGGCCTCCCCTCCTGTTTGGCTACCATGTTTCTAGGCGCTGATGTTATCCATTTACTTGGGGAAGTTGACATGGGGCCAGTCTACAGGCATCAAAAACCAGTCCCATGATGAAGCCTTTGAGGCATGCTGATTGCGATAATCGTGTAGCTTTTTCGTTTGTTCTGTGACCGGTCTCTGAGGAAGGATGTGGTGAACAGCAACTTGGGCTTTGGATGGCCTTGAGAGATGTGCGGTGACACTGAGGCCTCCATGTTGCTCAAAGCTGGCAGGGAGATGGGTTTAAGCTTTTGTACGGTATCAACTGCCAGGGTAGGGCAGATGCATTTAGATTGAGTACTGATGAACCGCCAGTCAAGGAGGTAGCTCACAGGTTCAATCGCACAGTATAAGATTTCTTGCACGTCTTTGGAGGTTAGGGGAATCATTTGCATCATCCGGGTGCACCTGACCAGCCTATTCACATCTGGAAACTTGTCCATTCAGCACTTGTCCACTTGGTGCTCCACCGATGTGAAATATCCGCAAGCCAAACCCTCTTCCACAAACGAGTTGCGAAGCGCCAGGATCTACAGCAGGTTTGGAGTTCCACGGCGAAACATGAATGCCTCCAGTCTAGTCTAGACATCATGTGTGTGTGTGTTACACCTTCCACACCCGTTGACACTCCCTTAAAGAATCGTTACCCGGAGTGAGCTCACCACCTGTTTGGCCTTCGGATTTCATGGTCATGATGTTTCGTGCCAGTCCGCCGAGGCTGGAAGCCAACGGTGGAGCAGCTGAAAGCCATGACGGTGAGCACGGGAGCGGAGCGAGCGGAGCGGAGCGGAAGGAGGTCGATGACCTTCCCTTGGGTAGGCGACATGGGTGCCCTCTGTCAGGGCGCCCCTGGAGACCAGGGTCGAGAACTTCCTGGCCCCGAAAAGAGGCAGGCGAGGCTGTCCAGAAAGATCAGCCCTGGCGGTGCTGGTCTAGTGCTATGTAGGATGCCTCGCCCAGAAAGAGGTTCGGTGTGTGGGGTTGATTTGGAGGGTCTAAGCAGCACGTCATGAAGGAGGTACGACTGGAGCCCGCCCTAGGCCCTAAGGTGTGCTTCGTGAATCTTCCAGTTGAACTGTAAGAACCCAATTAACCACACTTGAAGCAGCAAAGCTGGAACCAGACTCAGACTAGGAAGTTCATGCATGTTCATACTAAAGATCATACAAAGCCCACCTCCGAAACCAGATCTGAGTTCTCGGACTCGGACCAGCCCGGCACGAGCCTTGGGTGGGTGGGCCGAGCCGGCGCTGTTCCCGCCCCCAGGTGGCCGAGCTGGGACCCGTTTGCAAAAGTTGGAAGATTTCCATCGAGCCGAAGGACGGGGACGAAGGGCCGAAAGCAGAGGGCGCAAAACAGAGGATGTGACAGGGCCGAGGCCGAAAGCAGAGGGCGCATGAGGGCGATGATGATGATGATGATGATGATGATGATAATGATGATGATGATGATGATGATGATGATGATGATGATGATGATGAT